TAAGTACTAGTAACAAGAAAATGGATACTAGTACGGGCTATAGAATAAATGTTAAAACGGCTTGCCATAGCGTTTTTGCCGTGCGGCTATATATGACAACAGATGGAAAAATGAATGATCCAAAAAAGACGTGTGAATAAAAACGTGTCCTGCAAAGTGCATAAAGTTACTATCCCACCGCTGCTTTACCACTGTTGTCAACCTTGTCACTGGTGAGTTTAAAAGATTTAGGAGTCCGTTTTTCTAAGGGTAAACGAGCTAACGTTAACTTGTCATGCTTGTCAAGCTGGATAACGACTAAAACATCAGCACCGGGGACTTGAAGGTCCTCACTTCGAAACGAACAAAAGATTATGTAGTGATTTACCCTGCTGTTGAACTCCTTTCCTCCTCATCCCTTTCACTGAGGCACTGAACTCTGTATCAGTGCGCGAGAGAGACCGTGTTCACTCCACTCGGCTCTGAATTAAAATGATTTTTTTTAAAATAATCAAACCTTAGCATGTCGCGTGACACAACGAATCGATTATAAAATTTGTTGCCAGCGCTTTTAGTAATTGATTTTTTTATCGATTTAATCGATTCGCTGTTGCAGCCCTAATTCCTGTTTTCTTCATTTTAATCCTACAGCCTTTATGGCTGATTACAGTCCATGTCACCACCTGACGGCAGAACAATGTAGGCTGAACTATAAAGAGTTTTGAAATACGAAGCTATTATTATTAAAATACAGTTATTTCAATTCTATTTCAATCAAATGTAATTGATTGGACAATAACATTTAACAATTTGGATATGCTGACAAAACAACAATGGCCAAGAGTTCATACAACGTTTAAAGGGCCATGAAACCGCCTCGTTTCAGCAGGGTGTTTTCACACCTCTACTTTGGAAAAAGTCAGAAAAGTGGGCGTGTCCAGCTCTGTTTAGGGGGAGTGTCGGAGGAAGAAAAGAGGCATGGTGTGGGAGTGTCTATTTGGGCAAGCGCTGAATTTCAGAGTCAAAACACACACCCAGAGCGGACAATGTGACTGTGTTTACATGGACATCTGTGGTCGAATTATTTGCCAAATTATTAAATGGTGGACTTTAACTGCAGTTTGGCTCTTTCATTCAGGGAATTCATTCATGTCCCTCGCGACAAACGAGATATTTGATTCGAGGATCTGCTCTAAGCGTGTATTTTTCATGCAATGTTTGATACCGCACGGCGAATGAGAGAAAAAAAAACTCTGCATTTCCCGGAAACTTAGATGCACACGGCAGGTAGCGTCAGAAAGCCGCGTGTGTTATTCCGGTTACAAAATCCAACACGAGGTTATAGTTTGGTTGTAGTCCTAACTTGTTTACACTCGATGCAATAGTTTTTTCGATACGAATAAAATACGAACTGAATAAACAAAGAGCGCTGGTCGCTCACTTATCAAATCTGTAGAGACAGGACAATCACCAGCAACTAGAGCCGTGTCTTTATTAAGAGAATACTACAAGCGAATCCGGATCTCAGCGTTTGCAGATGAGAACAGCTCTCAGGTAAACAATAATCCTCCTTAGACACGTAAGTTATTGTTGTCGAGCGTCGCGTACACTGTTAATCCACACGTGAGTCCAGCTGAGCTCTCACAGAGAGAAAATGAAAACAAAACTTCACTGCAGCAAACTATTAAAGCAACACTTCACGCTTGTTTTGCCAACACAACGTGGCGTCTCTGCCGTCTAAACACTGTGACAGTAATGAATATTAATGAAGTTGCACAATAGAGCGTGCTGATTGGTTTGAACCAAGCCTTACTCATGCATTAATGCATCACACTGTAAGACGTAATAAGACTCACTCTGGCACAGACGTCCAGTCTGCACGCTGGAATACACGCTATTATGTCATGACCGTGACGCAGCTTCAAAAATTCATTTCAAACCGGAAGTACGAATTTGCCTGAAATAACGCAAAAACAACCAATTTACACTTTTTAGTGAAATATAGGTGTCCTAATAGTGTTTTTAGCAGTGTGGGACACATATACCACTGTTAACAGCTCAAAACATGTGTTTTGATGTTTCGTGACCCTTTAATATATAGAGCTGCACAATTTTAGATTACAGTCGAATCTGTGGGCTGTTAATGTTGCCAAAACAAGTTATATTACACTTTTAACCACTATACAGACATCCATCATCCTCCTGAATACTTGTCCAGTTGTCCTTGGGGGCTCTCTGCAGGCCATGAGAGGCTGAACGGTGGTCGACGCGCTGGAAGTCCCACTTCCGAAATCATCGACACGCATTTTCAAATAGCCACTACGCTAGATAAACTATACACTACCTGACAGGAGTCTTGTCGCCTATCCAAGTTTTTAGGAACAACGAATAACAACTTGACTTCTAGTTGATCATTTGGTATCAGAAGTGGCTTATATGAAAGGCAAAGGCCTCTAGATGACACTTATTTGACCACAATAAAATATGACGATGCCTTGATTTTGAATGATTTCATTAGGACAGTAAGTTCTTGCAGGACTGCTAGAGTTCATCAAGAGTCTTTGGATTCATCTTCAGTACCTCCATCATCATCTTACCTCAGACATGCTCAATAATGTTCATGTCTGTTGACTGGGCTGGCCAATCCTGGAGCACTCTTTGCTTTCAGGGGCTTTGATGTGGAGGCTGAAGTATGAGCAGGATCGCTATCCTGCTGGAGAATGTGCCCTCTCCTGTGGTTCACAATGTAATGGGCAGCACAAATGTCTTGATACCTCAGGCTGTTGATGTTGCAGATCTCTCGCACGCCCCAATGCTGCATGTAATCCCAAACCATGAGTTTATCTTCACCAAACTTGACTTATTTCTGTGGGAATCTTGGCTTCCAGTAGGTCTTCTGCAGTATGTGTGAGGATTGGGATGCAGCTCAACAGATGATCCATCAGAAAAATGCCACTTTTCCTAATGATCAACTAGAGGTCGAGTTGTTATTTGGTGCTCTTACGCCTGAGATCAGAAAATAACGATTGTATCTGTCTCTCTCCTCTCTTGTAGACTTACAGGATGATGTCTGTCGGATGAGCACTGCGACTCTCTGTCTTCAGCTCTACAGTCAGCAAACTCCCATCTGATAGAGCTGGACATCAGTACCAACGACCTGCTGATATCAGGAGTGAGCCAGCTCTGTGATGCACTGAAGAGTTCCCACTGCCAGCTGAGAATACTGAGGTCTGCGTTCATGTTCTCTCAGTCACTGTTCAGATTCATCGATGAATTTTGAAAGTTAAATCTTGTTGTGACATGAGTGAGTCAGTAGCGGAGCTTTATCAAGAAAGTGTCGATGGGTGGACTGCGGGTGTAATTTAAATACATAAATTTAGCTGAAATCTTACTTTAATGTATATTATATTAAACCAAACTGCACTTCTGTAGACTTCTAGATTTAGTCACTGATTTAATATTTTAAGGATCAAGCTAATTACAAGAGTGTTCATATTAGGGTGTGTTTACATTAATCTGATAAATAGATTGGCACAAAAAAAACAACTTACATCAGTTAGCCAAGTGCATGTGAGTGTATGGTTAAAAACTAGCCTAGATCCCCATCTGCTGGGACAAACTAGCCTAGCACATGCCATCTAATGTTTAAAACTAGCCTAGCCCTGCTGAAAAATCCA